TTTAAAAAAACAAAGATACAGCATTCTATAAATAAGAATATCTTATTTGTAAGCAAATACAAACACATGAGAAAAAAGTGAAAAAAAAATTAAGTTCCCCCAATCTGCAAAAATTAAAACAATCTGGGCAGGATAGTGTAGTCCTTTCTTGTAACCTAAGTCCATGAAAAGAATTATGCTCAGATCATATTGTATTTCCCACTAATAACACAATCTTTAAAAAGAGCTTCGTCAGTAATTTAGCAGTACATAGATTTGTATTCATATCTCATATAAGTCAGTTTGATGGACAAAAAGAATCAAAACTACAGGAGCTTTAAATTTAAAAAACGATCCCAACCTTCACTAACAATATACCATCATATAAAGAATGAAGACAAACTTTCCATTCATAAGTCAATCTGAATGCGAATCTTTGCAGAATAGAATGAGTGCTACTGAAATCAAAACTGATTTTTCTAAATATGTCTGGATGTTCTGCCATCACAGTCATGATGGCTTCTTCTGGATTAATATACATTTTCTTGCCTTAGAGAAAGTGCTAAGTGATTGTGAGAACTATCAAAGGGAAAAAAATATCTTTTAGGTCTGCTGATATTTTAATTGTACAACTCCAATTTCTTTTTTAATTTTGCGGTAACATTAAGATGTTACTTAATAGATGCTACCTAAATTTTTATATGCCAAGACCTACTCAAAACTAAGTTTGAAGATAGGTTTCTACAGGACCTCAGTGTAGTGAGGACAAGCTGAAACATAACTTCTTCAACTCTATACACCAGTTAAAGAAAAGGGAGTTAATCTTTTGACAACAGCTAAAAGCAAAGCTAACTGGCTTGGCTTAGTGGATAGTATTGGCCTTCGGACTAAAGGTTCGTGGGTTCAATTCCGGTCAAGGACATGTGCCTGGGTTGCCAGCTTGACACCCAGAAGGGGGCGTGCAGGAGACAGCTGATCAATGATTCTCATCATTGATGTTTCTATCTCTCTCTTCCTCTCCTTTCCTTTCTGAAATCAACAAAAAAATATATATTAAAAATAAAAAATAAAAGCAAAGCTAAGAATTCATCTCTCCTTTGATGAAATAATTACTAGTCCATTGAGCATTTAAAGATATGACATATATACATAAACTAACTTGAACACTTGTTGCAACTAATAAATTTGAAGAATAAGCAGTTGATAAGCATTTAGAGTAGAAATACCTGATGAAAAGTTTGCTTTGAAATAGGCAACAACTTTGCAAAACTTATAATCAGATAAGAAATTGTAAAAGTAAAACGTGTGAGACTTTGCTAAAGTCAAAGATCCATCAAGTCATGTTATAATTTAACAATTACAAAAGGATATTAATTTATTTATATTATAGCAAATGTAAATGTTACAATCATCATTTTTCTGGAACAATTATTATTTTGGTACTATTTATTCTACAAAAAACACCAGTACCCACCTTTACCCGTTCTGTTAACTGCCAATTACAAGCATCATCTAATATTTTCCTAGATCACTATACTAAAAATATTATTCGTACAATATCTCAAAATTGCATTAATATTGGTCCTGCAAATCTATCAACAGTAGCTCTCCAATTTTCAAAAGCAAACTCAAATCCTGGAGTTATGGGTAAGGGGAAGATCTGGTAGGTTCCTGGACTGCAGTGATTTCACATATAGTTGTATGCACCCTTTTAACCCAGACACCTGCATTGACCATATTTTTACCCTGCAGGGACACACATGTGTCAACGCCAGCTGTCAAAGAGTGGTTCCGCTCAATACTGAGTACGTGTAAAACCTGAGTGCCCAAATTTTTGTTTCAAGTTTAGTTGTTTTTGTTTGTTTGTTTTTTTTACTTTAAAGGCAATGCAATCAACCTTTTTAAGAATCTAAACGTCTCTAGCGTGTAACACAAACTTAAATGTTAAAAAGTGCAAAGAAGGAAAGAAACATGCTGTTGAAAGAAATCCAAATGGTATCTATTTACAGAATCGCTCCTTTCACTCATACTAGTAGTTTCCTAACAACACTTCCTTTTCACAATTTCCCAGCCCTTTCTCAGCAAATCAGTGTTTACCGCCGCCCCTCCCGCCCCAGATGTCAAAAGGATCCGCTGTCCACAAAGCCCCATAACGCAAGTGCACACGCCACCCTCGGCGCCGTCGATGCTTGGAAAGACACTCGTGAAAGTGCCAAAGCCCTAAATGACATCCCCAAGGGCTCCTTTTCTTTCTTTCACTCCATTTCTCTTTTTCGGGCCCTTTGGGCTAGATGTCCCCTCCCCTCCCAGTGGAACCTACATGCTTCCCCTAAGTCCCGGCCCCCCAGCTGGCCCGCCCGTCCCCGCCGGCTCCGTCTGTCTGTCCGGCCGGCCCCGCGGTCCTCGGCCCAGGTCCCCGCTCCTCCGCTCCCTCGCCCTCGCGGCCAGATCCCGGAGCATCTCTCCTCGGTCCCGAAGCCCGCGGGGCCCTCCCGTCCCCCTCAGCACCCCGCCTTCCCACCCTCAAGCCCTCGCCCCTCAAGGCTCCCTCTTCCTCCGGGTCCCGCTCCCTCCCGCCCCCTCAGCCTCTACGTGCCCCCCGGCGCCTGGCCATCGTCAGGGGCCCCCCTCAGGCCCTCGGCTCACAACCTCCATTTCCCTCAGGTTCCATTCTAGAGCTGCTCCCCGGGCTCCTCAACCGTCTCCCGGGGCCCCTGCGGAGCCCTGTCCTCGGCAGCACCCCCGGGGGGCTTCGGCTCGGACACCCAGACCGCCCTTGGCGGCAGGTGCCCCCACGCTCCCCGATCTCCAGCCCCCGCCGCCGCTCACCTCTGTGGTCTGAATCGGGCTGCCCCGACCCACCTCCGAGTCGGCGTCCGAGGCGCCGTCGGAGTCCGGGGCCCTCTGAGCCTCGCCGGAGTGGAGCGCCCCGAGCGGCGGCGGGGGCGGAGCCCGGGGAGGGGAGCCGGCGGGGAGGCGAGAGCGGTGGCGGCTGCGCGCAGGCATGGCTCCTGCCCGAGTCTCCGGAGCGGGCAACTGCTCTTAAACCAAACCGGAACTGCTCCGGGAGGCGGGGCCCCGCTGGCGGGAGGCGGGGCCCACGGCGGGGGCGGGGCCAGGACCGGAAGAGGGGCGGGGCTCCAGAAGCCAGGGAGAACTTAGGCAAGGAAACCCAGGAGCGCATGCGTCAGGCCCAGAGCGAGAAGATAAGGCCTGAGGAGATGAGGCTGGTGAAGATGGGGAGGGGCCGAGAGGATTGGTGAATGGGGTTTGAGGACCAGGGGAAATTACCCTGATTCCTCTAGACTCTACAGAGCTCCTCCCCAAGAGCCAATTCCTGCTGATCCTTGGTACCATGTATTGCCCCTTTCCTCTCTGACAGTCCCTATGCCAAATGTCATATAAATATCTCACTGAATCCTTCCTTGTGCCAACTCTACAAGGCCAAGAAACTTGTCTGAATTATTGCAGTTAATATGTGCCAAAGCCAGTATTCCTACTCAAATCTGCCTAACTTTAGAATCCATGCTCTTCTCACTCCACTATACTGCCCCATCCCGTGGGAACTCCCCACCCTATGCTTAGCACTGGCATCAACCAAGTCCAAAACCATCTGTGACCTAGGCCCCAGCCCCTCCTTGGCCTGGCTTTCCCAACCAGTGCAAGACAGACTTCAGTGGCTCTAATGGGCATGGGGACAGGTTCTGGGTTGGACATGCTTACATGGGATGTCCTGGTGTGGACTTTACTCTCAAGTTGGCCTCAAGGCCAGGACAGCAGGAAGGCTTCCTACTGCCGCTGGTACTTCCCCTGCCCCATCAGGACCTTCATGAAGTCATCTGAGAGCCAGCAAGTCATCTCATCTCTTTTGCCAATACCTAGCTCTGGGAGAAAGACCCATGTAGACCTTTCTCAGTTTCTCTTGTGGAGACAAAAAGCCCTTATAATTAGAGGACTTTCTCTCCCTACTCAAAAAATGTTTCTGATGACAGGCCCTTGGGCTCTGCAGAAAGTCTAGGGCAACATTCACTTCCTTTCTTTCTTCCCTTTGACATACATGGCCCATTTCAGCCTTCTCTTTTGAGAAATCAGCCATCTGCATGACAAAATCACTGTCCAAACCTTCACTCATGAACCCTGTGGTATCCTTAAAATAGGTCTTCCATACCTACTCTCCACAGTTCTCTGACTCTACAAGTCAGGAAACTTCTTCTGAGCCCTAGAATCTGGAAACTCATCCAACAGCCATGTAGTTCTGACTCAGACTGCAGAGCTTTTTCTATCATTGATCCTTAGAGTCAACCATCTCCTTTCCACCCTGCATCTCTAACTCAGTCCTCAGAACAGAATAGCCTTTTCGGGCTTCTTAACATGTCCAAAAATGTTTCTTATATGTTATATTATATGTTAGAAACATATAATATTTTCTTACATTATATGTTAGAAACAGAACATCCTTTGTTTCACTAAATCTTCACAATTCTTTTTTTAATCCCTGCCCGAGGATAGTTTTCCATTGATCTTTAGAGAGAGAGTGTGAAAGAGAGAAGGAAATACAGAGAGAAACATCGATGTGAGAGAAATAGATTGGTTGCCTCGTGCAGGAGCCCTGACCAGGCTGGGGAGGAGCCTGCAACTAAGATACGTGCCTTTGTGCTCTTGACCAGAATTGAACCCTCGATCCTTCAGTTCGCAGGCCAACACTCTGTCCTCTGAGCCAAACCAGCTAGGGCAAATCTCCCCGATTCTCTGAGGTAGGTGCAATTACCCTTACTTTGCAGACGAAGAAACTGAGATAAAGTGGTTTGCAGAGGTATGTCCGATCCCATGTGGTCCATGGAGTTTGGAGCTGGTGGGGGTGACTTGGGGAAGAAAATGTCCTGTCCCCTCAGGAGGCCCCGGTGACTTGCTGAGTCACTTCTTTCTGCCCCACCTGTCCCTGCCAATCTCCGACAGGAGAAGTGACACTGGAGAGGCCGGGAGGAGTGACTGCGGAGGCAGGGGAGTGGGTGGGCTGGCCCATGGCTGAGGCCTCGCTCCGAGACTCGGAAGCCACACCTTGCCCCAGTGTTGTGGAACTGGAGGAGCTCCTGAGGGCAGGGAAAATCTCTTCTTGCAACCGGGCGGATGAAGTTTGGCCCAACCTTTACATCGGAGATGCGTGAGTAGTAGCTGGCTTGAGGGGCACGGCGGGTGGGAGCAAGAACAAACAGCTCCCGGGCTCTTTACCAGAGACTGGAGAGGGATGGGTGTGTGCGGGGGGTGGGGGGGGTGGGGGGGGGAAGCATTCTAGACCAGAGACTTTCTCCAGAAGTCCTGTGAGGGGGGACAGTGCAGAGATCCGATGCGGCCACCAGGGGGAGTGGGGCCTTTGCCCGCCTGAAAGAGGGGAGCTCCCAGCAATTCCTGGAGTCTGCTGACACATCCAGGAAAATTGGGGCGTCTCAGGGGCAGAGGCCTGGGGAATGGTGACGTGGATTGGCCAGAGAGCTTCCCTTCCTGGTCCCAACTCCTCTCCTCGGGTCACAGAGGGCGAGGAAGCCTGACTCAAGGTGAATCAGGAAAGTTGTCACCCCTAGACATTTGCAGAGTAGAAGCAGGTATGAGGCAGAGGCCAGTAGAGGGCAGAAGCATGTGGGAAGGCCTGGGGCAGGAAGGGCGGGGAGCTCCGTCCCAGGGGTGAGGCAATCCTTTTTCCTTCTGTCCCAGCCAGCAGGGGCACAGGACCTCAGGAAGCAAAGAGGGGCTAAAGATAACTTCCCGTCCCACCACAAGCGCTGAGGGTGGCCCTGTGAGCTGTGGATCCAGCTCTAGCTTGCTGGGTCCTTTCCCCCTTCCTTTGGACCCTAATGGCTCCATCCCTCTGAAGTAGGCAGGGGGCCTGACAAAACTTCCCTCCTGGACCCCATGGCTCAGCCAGCATCCAGCCCCCTCCCTCTGCCCCCCAGGGCCACAGCAAATAACCGCTTTGAGCTCTGGAAGCTGGGCATCACCCACGTGCTGAACGCTGCCCACGGAGGCCTCCACTGCCAGGGCGGCCCTGACTTCTACGGCAGCAGCGTGAGCTACCTGGGGGTGCCGGCCCACGACCTTCCCGAGTTCGACATCAGTGCCTACTTCTCCTCCGCCGCCGACTTCATCCACCGCGGCCTCAGCACTCCTGGGGGTAGGCCGGGGGGCCTGATCTCAGGTCCATCCTGTCCCGTCATGGGGGGGGAGAGGGGATGTCCCGTTTCCCTTCACACATCAGTGCCCTCCCATCCCTAGTTTTTATTTAAAACGATTTTACCCCCCTAAACTGTGAGAGAAAGTTTGTCTAGAAAGTCACAGAGGTGGATGTGAGCCACAGAAGAAAGGGGCCCGGGAAGCAAGCCTCAGGGCCAGGGAAGGGCCCTGGGAGCCCAGGAGAAGGAGGGAGCGAGGAAAAGGCACCGGAGGAAAGCGGGGAGGCGGCGCCGGGCTCTGTGCAGAGGGAGCCGCCCTGGTCCTCCCGGAGGCCTAAGAGGAGGAGTCCAACCATCCCTAGTTTTTTGTTTTGTTTTGTTTTGTTTTTTAAATATATATTTTTTATTAATTTTTTTCATTTTTTACAGAGAGGAAGGGAGAAGGATAGAAAGTTAGAAACACCAATGAGAGAGAAACATCAATCAGCTGCCTCCTGCACCCCCTACTGGGGATGTGCCTGCAACCAAGGCACATGCTCTTTCTTGACTGGAATCGAACCTGGGACCCTTCAGTCCGTAGGCTAATGCTCTATCCACTGAGCCAAACCGGCTAGGGCCATCCCAGGTTTTTAAAAAGCCACCAGGTTTTTAAAAATTGTCTGCTCGTGCGCCAATGACTTACCCAACTGCATAGCTTCACGTCGGGAGAAGCTGAGGCCTAAGATACAGGGCATGCCCTGGGGCAGGAGCAGCCCCAGAAGCCAGGCCTCCCAAACGGCAAAAACAACTCTTCCTCTGCAGCACTCGGCCTTCAGAGACCGCTGCTTGGTACCCAGATGCCTGGGTTAGGCCATAAGTACTTTCAAACGAAAAAAATTCCTAGCACCCAGCGGGCAACACAGGCCCTGGGGGCAGCTGGGCCCCGTTCTGTGTTTGTCCTGGGTGAGCGCTGTGGCCCTGCCACGGGAACCTGGGCGAGCCAGCACCCCTCTCTGGACTTCCGTCCCCCTTCTGTGCCATGGGAGAGAGAAGACTGTGCCTCACAGCACTTCCTAATGTTCAAAACACTCGGACATTCCTTGGATCTCCAGCCATTCCCTCGCCAGCTATTTACTATCTCTCTGTGCCAGGCACTGAGCTAGATGCTGGGAATTCACCCTTGGGCCAGGCAGGCTGTCTGCCCTCACGGAATTGTCATTACATCTGGTGGGAAGACGGTCAACGCGTAAAGCAGTACGAGTGCTGCCCACGGGAGTGGGGAAACGCGAAGAGCTGAGGGAGCACAGGCAGGGGAGCTCAGGGCCGAGGACCGGGGGGCAGGGTGACTTCTCGCCGCAGCGGTATCCCCGGGCCGCGTGCAGAAAGGATGAGCTGCTCCATGATTCAGGCGCCACCAGGAGTGGCCCAGGAAAGCCTATGCAAAGAAGCTGAGCCTGGCAGCTGAGCAGTAGACGTGAGTCAGCCCGGGAGCAGGGGAAGGATTTGCAAGGCGTTGGGATAGCACGTGCTGAGGCTGGAGGCCAGAGAGCACGAGAGCGTCCAGGAGCTGAAAGTGACGCTGCACCTCTGGAGCTGACGGCCGGGGTGGGGCAGCCTGAGCTGTGGCTCAGGATCAGCTGGGGGCCAGGTCATGGCGGGTCTCGTACGCCATGCTGAGGACTGTGGGCCCCAGCCCAAGGGGTCCACTTTGCCCGTCTTCCCACCAAACATAATGACAAGTTCCATGAGGCTAAGTAGGAGTTGGTCTACGCATTTGGCAGATCATGACACGGAGGTCCCTACCTGTGGAATGCCTTGGCCAGGGCTTGGCACAGCGTACACCCAAGGCAGAGCGGGGAGAGGAACGTGGGCCCCGGCCCCAGCCCCGGGTGGGCCTGCTGGCGGGAAAGGGTCTTCTCTCACCCGGATGTCTCCTGCAGCCAAGGTCCTGGTGCACTGTGTGGTCGGCGTGAGCCGCTCCGCCACCCTGGTCCTGGCCTACCTCATGCTGCGCCAGCAACTGTCCCTGCGCCAGGCGGTGATCGCCGTGCGGCAGCACCGATGGGTCTTCCCCAACCGAGGCTTCCTTCACCAGCTCTGCCAGCTGGACCAGAAGCTGCGGGGCGCAGGCCGGAGCTGAGGGGCCAGGTGAGGGCTGGGCAGGGTGAGGGAACAAGGGGGCGAGGCAGGCTGCAGCTAGATGTGAGAGGCCAATTGAGAGCTGGGCAGGGAACAGGAAGAGGGAGGCCGGTGAGGGCTGGAAGTGAAGGGTCAGGTGCTGGGGGACAGGGGATGGGACAGTTGAGAGGGATTTGTTAGGGCTGACTGGCTGGAACTGAAGGTGGAAGGGGGCTTGGCCTACTCTCCAACCTGCTGGGCCCCTCTCCAACCCAAGGCCCAGCGAAGAGAGGCCTCTCTCTCCCAGCCTACCCAGGTTCTTCAGACCCCAGAGAGGATGGAAAGAAAGGGCTGGAAAGCTTACAAGGGAAGAGGTGAGCCCTTCCTACCTGGTCTTGATGCTGACTTGCCCCGCCTCCTTGACCAAAAGCCTGTGGGGGCTCCTTAACCCCTTTCCCCCAACCCATGGGCAGCAGCCAGCCAGTCCTGGAACCATGGACTGTCTGAACCTTCCCACAGCTTCAGCTCTGGGAGAAAGTGCGACTGTAAGTTCAGTTAATGCTCACCTCAGCCCGGCCTCACCATCCCCACATGGGGAAGGAGAACAGGTGCTGCCACCAGCCATGACCCCCTCACACAGCCCTGCTGATGGGAAGCTCTCCTGCCATCATGCCAATCCATTCTCTCCTTCCGCCCAGCACCCCGTGCCCTCCTGCCCCCGCCCCCGCCGCTCAGTCTGATAGAAGGCTCTCCCTAACCTCCCTCCTCTCTGGTTCTGGGACCCGTTAGGACATAAAGGTCTCACTGAAGTCTAAGAATCCTCCCTGCTTCCATTTCCCTGCCTCTTGTTCTGTGTTCAGCGCCTTTGGAGCAAGAGCACAAGGGGGACAGGTCCCTGACACCTCCTCTCTGCTAGCCCCTCCCCTCCTCTACTAGCTGCCTAGTAGACGGACCTGGGCTTCCCCAGCAGCACTCTGCTTCCATTTCTCCGGCATCAGCCCTGGCTTGTCCTCCAGCTCCTGGGAGGAGGCAAGGGGTCTCTTTCTGGGGTGGGACCAGGACTGTGAGGGAGCTGCAGAGTACCCACTGCCGTCTCCCACCACGCCCAGGCTGGGTCTGTGCCCTGCTGGTCCTAACAGCCCACCTTCCCAACATCACATCCTCCCGAGTGCCATCAGCTGGGGGGTTAGGCCCCAGAGCTGCTGTCCACTCCCTGAGCCTGCCTCTAGCTCCTGCTAGCCAGCTCCTTCCCTCAGCTCTCCTCACCTTGACTTTGGCTGTGCCGCCCCTCCCACTGGCTCACAGGGGCTGCTGGTGGGGATGGGCGGCTGGCCTAGGCTCTCCTGATGGTTGGAAGAGCAGCAGCTTTCTCCTCCTGCTAAGAGCACGGCCTGAATCTTCCCCCAGCTCCACTCAGCAGAGCTGTCTTGGACTTTGAATGCATAGCTGGCTCAACCAAGTGGGGGGCAGGGCCTTCACATTAGCGATTTGACCCCTTCACACATGCTGTCAGGAGGGTGAGCATCTTGGGGATGGGGATTAGGGCAGGACGGAGGGCTAGGCTTGGAATTTGGGGGTGAGTGTAATGGGAGGAAATGAGGGTTTTAGCTGGAGTTGGGCGCAGGCCTGAGGCCAACCTGAGCGGGAAGCTTAGTGGGGAGCTCTGCGGGCACGGGGAGCCAAGAGGAGGGCCGGAACGCATGCTCCCGCCCTGCTCTCTCCTCTAAGCAGGCTTCCGGAGCCTGGGAGAGCGGCAGCTCTCTGATCAGGCCCAGTCACCGCACTTCCTAGGCCTGAGGCTCTCACATACCCGAATCCTAACCCTCAGCATTTTCCCATCAGGCAGCTGGCTTTGGGGGAGCCACCTGAGCTACAGCATTGAACAGTTCCTGGGGGTGCA